TCTTTTCTCACACAGTCTTGTTTATATAGCCACGGAAGAGATACGTTGGTTGTCCATAAATCCATTTCAATGCTAGTAACGTTCTTTCCTTTTTGAGAAGATCTTTGTCTTGGAATAAATCTGTTGGTAATAAATCTGTCTTGAATGCTTAGTAACGTTGACACTTCAGAGTCTTCTCTGCTTATGGTAATCAGAGTGTTCTTTCCTTTATGCTGACGCTTCTGAGTGTTGATGACTTGGTTAGGATCTTGATCAGAGTTAGAGTATTTTATGTGCAGATTCTGTTCATCAGGCTTCAACGTATAGCACATGTTATTTGATCTTCTGATGCTGAAATATCTTCTGATGTTGATGTTGATACTGATATTCCGATGCTGATTCCATCAGAGTTTCTGTAAATACACAACATAATTTTAAGTAACATATGTCTTATATAAATCTTACAATTTATTTAATCTTGTATTTTGTTATCATCAAAACTCTAACTGAGGGTTGTAGAATCAAACTATGTTCTAACATCATATAATCTTAGGTCAATAGCATCCTTTAGAGAAGGATCACATAAGACTAACTAATTCCAAATAACTTCCATCTGGGCTAAAAACTCTTAAACAAGTTGACCACATTGTTGTTTCAAATTATTGAGATCCTTTAATAATTGATATTAATTGTATAACTCAGAGATAATATAATGTTGTTTTAAATTATCTCATATCTCTTTGGGATTATCGAATTTCCCAAATTGTAGACGAATACTCTAAACGGAGGTATTCTAAAACTAAGTAAAATTTGATTATTTTTGTTGTCCCATTCCTCTAATTTATTAGCATAAGCCTCTAAAGTTTCACCGATACTTTTTGTCAGACCTTTTTTATTATCTGTCATGTATCACTAAAGTCTCTAAAGTTTCACTGACACTTCTCTCCGCTTATTGCTTCATGTTTACTGGTAATTTTAGTAAACAATCACGAGTTTAGTTCACTTAAGAAATTAATTTCAAATATCTCAAAGATAATTTGTGCAAAGGAAAGATACAGTGAAGTGTGTGTTTTGTTTTAGAATGTTTGAAAAACAAACAACTGGATGCAAACAATAAACTTTGGATAAAGGAAATAGACGAGAAACAAAGTAAATAAAGTAAATGACATTTAACGTAAATGCTTCAAATACAAAATATTTGCAGAAAGTTTAAAGAGTGAACGCAAAGTCACATTTCTCACAAACTATTTCCCTCGATACCTTAGGTGCTTTAGTTCTATAAAGAATTAATTAGGATTTGCTACCTCGACTACATTGCATAATTTGGATCTATGTGCTTGCAGGTAACAATTAAGTTTTGATGAAAACAACACATTTACAAACATGAAGTACTCAAAGACAATTGAAAAATACTACAGGAGCCCTAAAATCCTCCTCAAAGGAAAGATTTGAAAGCTTGTCAAGTTGTGTCAGTCTGTTTGAAAGAACCAAGTATTGTAAAGATAAAATAATAGCTTAAAAATACTAAGGAAACTAACACACACTAAAATCTTATTTTCCAAAAAGAAAACATTTCAAAATAATTTGGAAGTTGTGCCATAAAGATTAGGAACTCTAGAAATTACTAGAGGGAAATTTTTTGTCTATTTTAGTTGATTAAAACTTTAGTCTAATCAATTAGAAAAGATCAAACTTACTCCCCAAGACAATTCTAGAACACCTAAATGATTGGAAACTGATCTATATCATAACCTTCCATTTTTAGAATCATAACATCCATATTCATTTTAACTATTCGATTAGACAAATCCATTAAATATTTAATTAGGCCCAAGGATCATTTCCTTTTTTGGTGATTCCAACTACTATATAAAGAGAGGTTTCACTCACTTGAAATCACGCCACTTTCCAAAATTTTCATATTTGCTTGGAATTTATCTCTCTAAGATCTCTCATTCTATCTCTAGAAATTTTTCTTTCTTCACTCTTGGTTATCTTAGTGTTTTAGAGTGAAATTTTATTTGTGAAGAGAATGTTATTTTTTTGTAACATGTCGTACTATTCGTTTTTAGTATTAATGGTGCAATACATTTAAGAGATTGAGTTTTGGTTCTTAAAATAAACCATAAATCTATTTTATAGGTTTATTAAGCTAAGCCGGTAAAAATCTTTGTTCTTGGTTAAAGAAATCAACCATAAATCTCTAAACAGTTTCATAAATCGGGTTGAGAATAAGCTTGTTCAAAGTCAAAGGCCAGATTATATTAAGGTTCATGGGAATAACAAATAAAATCTTCCAAGTTTATAATGAAAAATATCAACAAGAACTCATAGGAACCAGACTAGGCCTATGTTCGGCCAAACCTGAATATCTCTCTGATGCAATCTTTCTACTCTCTTTAATTTTCTACAACATATTTTATTCACTTTACTTCCGCTACACTTTATTACTAAAAAACATTACTATTAAGATCTAAATTGAGAAAGGAAAAAATATCAATACTTTTCAAAAACCCTAATTCACCCCTCTTGTGTTTGAGGTCACTTGTTCAACAAGTGGGATAAGATCCTAACTTCTATTAAGGACTAATCGTCTTAGGATGAAGGATGACTTCAATTTGTTCACTAAGTAAACCCTCATCTTGTAGTGTAGAAGGGTATGGGTCGTGGAAAGAGAAAATGGAGTTCTTCATAGAAGGAATGGATCGTGGTATATGGAAAACTGTGGAAGATGGACCATTTGTTTGTGCACACATAATTGATGGTGTTGTAGTAAACATACCTGAAAAGGATTGGTTCAAAGAAGATAAAGAGAATGTGCAACATGGTTTGAAAGCTAATAATATCACCACTATCACACTAGGTATTGATGAATTCTTACGAGTTTCTTACTGCAAAAATGCTAAAGAAATGTGTGACATCCTCCAAATCACCCATGAAGGTACTATTGAGGTGAATAGGGAAAGGTTGGGTGCAATAACCCATGAGTATGAACTTTTTAGAATGAAACTTGAAGATAACATAAATCAAATGTAAACACAATTTACTCATGTCGTAAGTCATATGAGAACTCTAGAGAAATCATTCTCAGAAGAAGAATTAGTAGTAAAAGTTCTAAGATCCTTGAATCGCGATTGGCAACCAAAAGCCACTACAATATGTGAATAAATTTTTTTGAGACTATGGATACGCACACTCTATTTGGAAAATTGTAGGAACCAGCGATGACGTTAAAGAAATAGATAAGCTAGAAAAAATCATTTCAGAATCAAATGATAAAATATATTTTCTTGAAACAAAAAATAAAATCTTAGAAAGAGAATTAAATAATATTAGGGAAAAATGAGAAGAGCTAAGTCCTTCCACTTCTAATCCATGTAATGATTGTGATATCTTAAAAGAATAAGTTTGCAACCTTCAAGAAACCTTGTTAAAATTCACCAATGGAAGAGATAATTTGGAATTACTATTAGGAAATAAAAAAGTCACTTATAATAAAGAAGGTTTAGGATATGAACCAATAAACAATATCAAGAAATTAGAAAGTATGTGCAGGAAAGAAACAACATCTCACTGCAAAAAGTTTAGATGCATCTCTATCCTACTTCTCATGGCATCAGAAAGAAGTAAAGAAATGCAATAAAGTGCCGAGCAATAAGAAAGTAGTAGCGGTGACTACCACAAGCAAGCCAATTGTCGAAAGCAGACGAAACCAATGGAGAAGCAGGGAGTACGCATCGAGCAAGCTTCACCAAGAAATAAACAAAGTCATAAACAATATCCAACTAAGATAAAAGTAAACGTGTGTTGCGAATGCAACATGTAATCAGAAGTTCCTGCACAAAGTATCACAAAATATCACATGTACCAGGACAATATATAATATGATATGAATTTCTCAAGACAATAAGAACTAAGGCGTGTCGCATCATAAGCGAGCATAAGTTATATGCTTCGATCACATAACTACATGTTATGTTACATAACCGAAAGCAAAAAGAATATACCTTGCACAATGAACAAACGCGTCAAAATAACGAGGCAAAGCGGCATGAAAATATGGGTATAAAGTTATTCTTATTTATTAGTTTTCATGTGAAGAGAATTCAAAAAAACTAAAGAATTAATTCCTAAAAAAATTCTAGTATATTCTACTATTATTATTTTGTTTTTATCATAACAAAAACCTATCAAAGCTGTAGAATTAGTTCCTAAAATTCAATTAAAAACTAACAAATTTTATTGATCTTATTACAATTTTATCATAGAAAAATTAAAAGGAAAAAAATTTAAATCTACATATCCTTTTTGTCCTTCTATCACCAAGTTTTATTAGGAAAATTTAAAAGAAAAATTTAAACTAAAAGAAAAACTAAAATGATTAAAAAGGAGTTAGGGGTGAAAAATGAAATCCAGGGGGATGTGGTAGAAGTCAGGGTGTTAATACCATTCAGCAGGGGTTCAATACTTTTTTTATTTTGTCCAGCTAGATTTCAAACAAATTGCACACGGGCCTAGGGCAATGCAATTCGACCCAGGAGTAGAGTCCAGCAAGTAGTTTTTTTGCATAAATTCCAGGCTACGAAAAATAGAGTGCTTTGGGCCTGAGGGGAATGTGTGTGTGCAATAAGCCAGGTTCATATTTCATCAGTCCATTAACCATTTCTATTCAGATATTATTGAATTAAAAAAATAAAGTATAAAAGAGATATTATAAAACCCACAATTTTGGATAAGTTTTGTGACGCTTCAGCTTCCAAAACCTTTAGCACTCTCTAACCATTTTATCTCTTCACCGAAGCGATTTCCAGAAATGAAGCGCCATCGTCTACCACTTCAAAACCACCTTGTTTCAATAAATCCTCAGGATCAACCTAGCTTAATTTAGCCCCCTGAGTACGAATCCGGCTACAGATTTCACAATAGACATAATCAATTGGCGGGATCGGAGAACCGAATTAGAAACCCTAGGCTTAAAATCTAGAATTAAATTCCATACAACTCTGTTTCATGCGATGGCCATGGGGTTCGACTCTACTCAACAGTCTCAACATCATAGTAAAATAAGAAAATGTAAAAGAGATGACAGAACATGGAGTTTCAACGACTTACCTACAAGAGCATTTCCGGTGATTCTATAAAGTCTGCGCAATCAATAGAAACCCAAAGGATGCTTGTTTTCTAGGTATGAAAGTTTTGCTTCTCCCCTCAATTCCTCTTGTCCATATTCTTCTTCTTCTACTCCATTTCTTCCGCTTTTCTTCTGCGATTTCTTGCTTGACTGCGTTTTTGTGCGATTGAGAGTTGTGTCAGTGTGATGCGAATATTGGTGTGTATGAAGCAGATAACTTGTTGTTGTTGGTGCAACGGAAGAGTGAAGCCGTTGTAGATTGTTGAAGCTTTGAGAGATGATGATGCATAACTCTCGACAAATATGGTGATAGTTGAAGGTTGGAGATGAGAGTTGCAGGGAAGATGAAGGCCAATGATGAATGATGGAGTGTGAATGCAGAGGGAATGGTGGAGTGAGGTTGAAGATGAAGATTTCCGAAGTAGTGAAGTTATTGCTAAACCTTTAGGATGCAGAGAGAGTGCAGAAAAATTAGAGAGAAGAGAGTGAGGATTTTTCTGGTGATTTGTAAAATGATCGTGAATCAATGAAGATTAAAGAGAAAATGGCTTATAGTTTGTTAGGGTTTGTTACTGAGAAGTTAATCCCAGCCCTTGGATTTGACTTTCTGTTACATGATTTAATGGTTAGGATGGAGTCAGCTATGAGGTTTTTTGTTCTATTAGAATTTAACTTCTGTTATAGTTAGTGAAGTTTAGCTGAAATAATTAGTTATGGTGATGAGATGGAATCGGTTATTGGTTATTGTTAGTTAAAACAGAGGTTAGTTACAGTTTATTAGAAGTTAAGTTTGTTCAGAGTTTCAGGTTAGTTATGATTTGGTATATTCAGTTAGAGTTAGTTTTTATTAATTCTGTTAGTAGTTTGGATCTGTTATTGGCTCTTTGTTATTCAGGAAGTTTAATAGGGACTTTATTGTGTTAATACTGATATGTTGTTTTTTAACTTGATGTGGCGAAATTGTTAGTTGTTTGGAGATTCGGTTTTCTAGTAGTGAACGGATTTTCACAATCGGTTTTTATATGCTTTGTGGACTGGTTTGCTGTTAGTCATTGTTTTTTATAGTGAAAAAGTGGGTTGAATCGATTAGGTAGTTTTTTTGTTGAAATTCTGTTAGATGGGTTATGGACAGTTTGGGATTCAATTAGAGGAAGTTGTGAATCTGTTATTTTCTATTATGTTGAGCTAGATTTCTGGTTTTACTAATGAACTGGTTTTGGGCATTTTCGCAGGGACTTGTTACAACAGGGCTACAAGGAGGTTATCTCACGGTTTCTTGTGTGAGCAGGGCTGAAGGAAGTGTGCAAGAATGGTTTAGATTGAAACAAGGATTGGTGTGTACTCTTAGAAAGCAAATGGAACAAGTTTTGTATAAGTTGAAAACTGTTTTTGAATGGACTTTGAATTAGCTTTTGGACTGTTTTGGAATGAGATGAAACAAGGCATTAATTTTTCTTAGGATGCAATAGAAATTTGAACTTTTTGTAATGTTTCTTTGAAATGATGGGTTTTGGATGTAATGACAATGTTGAATGGTTTTTATGTGAAGAAATTGGAACTTGAATAGAACTTGATCTTGAATGCATCATGGTGATGATAGTTTTGAATGATTTATGATGATTTTGAACTTGATCTTGAATATTTAAAATTTGGATTTGAACCTTGCTTTCTTGAATTATGACTTGCAACTTGAAAATTAGTCTTAGGACGCAACTGAAAGTTTAAATGACCTTGTATGCCTTGAATGCAATATTAATTTGGAAATTCCAAATCTTCAATCTCCTATACAAAATCAAGTCTTCTTAAATTAGCTAAGAGCGCTTAATGCTTCTATTCATTTGCAACTTGAATGAAACACATGATACCAAACCTTTTTTTTTGGATAATTCACGAGATAAACTCAAATATTACTAAATAAAGACTTTCATTTGAAATTAAAAATCTTGCTTATGAATTAAAATGGTGTGCTTTCTTCTTCAAAGTGACTTGAATTCCAAGGAATCCACGTGGATGGACTTTCCAAACTTAATATGTTTGCCTCTTAAAATATTGGTCCAATTTGAAAAATTCGAATCACTTGAACTCATGACCTCAAATAATCATTTGAATGAATTCTTTCACCATAATGAATCCATAGTAATTCAATTCTCTCAATCTCCATCAAACTTGTATAACAAGAAATGAGAGAACCAATAATGCCTTAATCTCATGGAATTCATAACATCATCCTTGTATCACTTCTTGACTTGATGATAAACAAAATTTTAGTGCTTTGAATCCTTAAGAACGAATGATAAGGCTTGAAGCATAGAATAACTCCTGGATATCTAGTGATCCTTAGTTGAACAAAACTCAAGCATGAGTATATGTAAAACCTAATTCTCTGGATTGGGATACTCAATGAGGATAAAGATAGCTCAATCCAAAATCCTGGTTCAAAACAACCTTAGTTGCAACCTTGATGAGACACCAAGTACTATAAGTAAAAACCCTAATGCACTTTACTCTGGATGAATATTTGATGAGGAAATAAATCCACAAATCCTGAACTACAGTTCCACAATCCACTGCTTGAAGAGGGACCAAAAGCATCAGACTTTATTGAATATATACCTCAAAACACTGTGAAACCCTAACATCGCACAACCACCGAACATTAAACCTCAAGCTCTTCATTGAATGAAATGTATGCCATGTTAGTAACCTAATGGAGGTTATGTATATGATGATGCATAAGCCAGATGACCCTTGTTAAAGGGTAGGACAAATTTGGGGTATTACAAATGTCCCTATTTAATCGCCTTAAACCTGGAAGTACCATTGGCGCGTTCCTTTCGGAAGTTCAAGGTAGAAGATGATTAAATATCAATGCCGAAAAATTGTTCTGACAGAAAGTGTGAGTGTTTATTTGTTTTTGTGATATCTGCCGGGGAGAAAATTTTATGTTTTCTTGGGAAGACGGAGATTAGACTTATAACATGGCATGATGCCAATACAAGACAAGGATGGACACGTAACGTGGCATGATGCCAATACAAGACAAAGGTTGGTACGAAAATAAGGCAGATAAGATATACGAGTGACCTACGATCCTAAGGTGAAACATAAGAGTGATCTGTCAGAGAACTAGGACTATGGGCGACCTCAGAACTCTAAAACATGATTTATAAGGAGAACCTAGCCTACAGACAATCTCAGGTTCTAAGATGATCTATTGGAAGAACCTAGCCAATGAGCGATCTCAGGTTCTAAGATGATCTATCGTAATAACCTAGCCAATGGGTGATCTCAGGTTCTAAGATGATCTATTGGAAGAACCTAGCCAATGGGCGATCTCAGGTTCTAAGATGATATATTGGAAGAACCTAGACAATGGGTAATCTTTAGTTCTAAGATGATATATTGGAAGAACCTAGCCAATGGGAGATCTCAGGTTTTAAGATGATCTATTGGAAGAACCTAACCAATGGATGATCTTAGGTTCTAAGATGATCTATCGGAAGAACCTAGCAAATGAGAGATCTTAAGTTATAAGATGATCTATTGGAAGAAACTAGCCAATGGGAAATCTCAAGTTCTAAGATGATCTATAGGAAGAACCTAGCCAATGGGATATCTCAGGTTCTAAGATGATCTATTGGAAGAACCTAGCCAATGGGAGTTCTCATGTTCTAAGATGGTCTATCGGAAGAACCTAGCGAATGGGCGATCTCAGGTTCTAAGATGATCAATTGGAAGATCCTAGCCAATGGGAGATCTCAGGTTCTAAGATTATCTATTGGAAGAACCTAGCCAATGGTCGATCTCAGGTTCTAAGATGATCTATCGGAAGAACCTAGCCAATGGGCGATCTCAGGTTCTATGATGAACTATTGGAAGAACTTAGCCAATGGGCACTTTTAGGTTCTAAGATGATCTATTGGAAGAACCTAGCCAATGGGAAATCTCAGGTTCTAAGATGGTCTATCGGAAGAACCTAGCCAATGGGTGATCTCAGGTTCTAAGATGATCTATTGGAAGAACCTCTCCAATGGGATATCTCAGGTTCTAAGATGATCTATTAGAAGAACCTAGCCAATGGGCGATCTCAGGTTCTAAGATGATTTATCGAAAGAACCTAGCCAATGGGCGATCTCAGGTTCTAAGATGATCTATTGGAAGAACATAGCCAATAGGCAATCTCAGGTTCTAAGATGGTCTATCGGAAGAACCTAGCCGATGGGTGATCTCAGGTTCTAAGATGATATATTGGAAGAACCTAGCCAATGGGAAATATCAAGTTCTAATATGATAACATGGGTTATGACATGACACGTTTTTAGAAAACTGACATGGATGAAAACTTGAATTTGAATTGGTTGTCAGACGGGAACTGACTACCAGACGAGAACTGGGATTTGAATTAATGGCCAGACGGGAACTGACTACCAGATAGGAACTGGGCTTTAAATTAATTTCCAAACAGGAAATGGCTACCAGACGGGAACTGGGTTTGGTTTAATCGTCAGATGGGAACTGACTACCAGACAAAAACTAGAATTAGAATGACAAGGTGTATTGATTTTGCTGGGAACTCAGTAGTACAAGGTTCTGGCACCGTTAGCTGAGCATCGTGACGGTGAAGGTCATCAGCTGAAGGTTTGGGGTGATATCCTCTTATGGTTGAATGATTCAGGTCTTTTGTGTAAGGTACCTGATCTGGATTATGCTTTGTATGCATGTTTGAATTTCTTTTGACGCAAAGATCCATTCTGATGATCGACTGCGTGCTTTTGAGGATGCAATGTTATGCAGTGATAACTATATGTAATGCAAAGAAGTAGACTTCACGAGGATTAGCGAAGGTTCGTTAGGAACTGTTGCTAATCACTGGGGATGCCAATACATATCGGTGCTAGAAACCTGCAGTACCAAGGATTGTTGGGGATACTGATAAGAATTTGCATTGGAGAGCTCATGATACCCAAGATTATTTACGACTCCGCTGAAGATTGAATTGCTAACGCAACGAATTTTAAGGTACACCATTGAATTCTGAATTATGTTGTCGGGGAAGAGATAATCTGGCCCGACTTCTGTACATCCTGAACCGTTGAGAGGATGGTAGAACTGAATATGCCGAAGAATGGATACTGAACACCATGTGGATCTCTTCGAATACATGCCTCAAGTTTACGCCACACTGGGGGATCACCTCTTGAATCACTTGAGGATAAAAAGATTGACATGGACACCCGTGAGTGCCCCAGTTTAACTCTACGAATGCCCTGGTTTACTCGCTTGTCGATGCCTCGATTTAGCTTTGCGGATGCCCCAGTTTACTCCATTGGGGATATGCACTTGCGCGTGCCAGTCAAAAGGCGACTCTGAACTTTCTGAATTCACTTTGGGAATTAGGTTTGAAATTGTCTGCAGCAGATGAAGGAGGCTTCGTGCATTGGCTAGGTCAGGGTGACCATTATGATGCTTTTAGCTTGATTCGTATCGTGCAACATAATTGGCTTGAACAACTTTGTGAGTATGGATACGGAATGCCCCTGTCTGTGGATTTCTGAAAGAATCTGTGCCGAATAGAAGACCAGAATATCCGTGGCACAATATGATATGAGGTGGCCTGCCCCAATCTCTTGAGTCACGAAATAAATTGCTCTTGATTACAACTTTCTTGGAGAGATTTATCTAATCTCGACATGACTTCCCTAGGTGGAATGAATTCTCAATAGATTTATCAATGTGATAGCCCCTGATCGACGATAACTTGAAGATATTTATCGACGTGATAGCCTCTGATTGATAGCTTTGATGGAATGCCCCAGAATTGGCTGACCTCGGAGAGATCGACTCCCAACTTGATTGCCCCAGATTGGTGGAATCCGCTAACTTCATCCCTAAAGGGTACTCAGACTGTGAAGCACCAAGATACTTTCTCTTGACAGAATTACTGGTTAACATTCCCCTGGATAAGTCATTTATCTTATGACAATTGACTCTTGCTTCAACAGAGTATTCAAGCCTCTCTTCTCTTACAAGATTGAGCTCTTTACCGATTGTTCATTATCTAAACATACTTGATGTCAATCAGTTGTTTTATATGCAGAAGAACTTTTATTATGAGAATGATAATTCTAATGCAACACATATGTAAGTCTTGAAGTTTGAAAATTTTTTGAATGAAATGATGTCACATCTTTGTTGTGAACGCGTCACTAGCTAGAGAGAAAAATTTGCAAATTCTTTTTATGAAAGATAATGCAAGCATAGGATGCCAACACATATATTTAAACATACCTCTTAGGAGTCAGTTAAACACTATCTCGTTGTAGCAAGCTATCGAATTGACCCATGCTTTAGTTAGGACTTTTAAGGGTTGTAACGTGGCCTGGTTCACGGTTTTAGAAAAAAGGATTTG